CGAACTGGCAATTGACAAAAAACATTACTAAAAAATATTCTGGAGAATTATGTTAAAGTTCATGAAGTATCAAGTCCAGGAAGGAACATTAATTGAGTAACTCAATCGCTTACATTCTTACCAGCAGAAATTAGTTAGAAATCTCGTTTATCATGACTTTTTTATATCAAGTCCAAGAAAAGATTTTAATATTTTTGGAATGGTTCACATTACAATGTTCATAGGTTAAAAAATTATATTTGTCTAAACCAGCAAAGTTGAGAAGAAATTATTACAATAAAATACAAAGTTGGCAGAAAAAAAGATTTGTTAGATCAAATTATCTCATAATAGAAGGTTAGCATTAATGCACTATAATTACGATTGAGATTAATTATATTAGGTACATTTAATTGTTATTCAAGATGAGGCAGTATGCACAAACAAATTAACTATGTTTTTAATGGGAACGAAATTATAGAAATGGGACACTTTGTATTATTTTCGATGAAAAAGAATAAAGGAGAAAACATTTGCAACATTGCTGATGAGTGTAATAAAAAAAAATAAAGCCACTATTTGATTTTACATACATTTAGTAATATTTAATTTTACTTATATTTAATAATTGGTGATTATTATGAGAATTAAATTTTATGGGTTCCTGAACATACAAAATTCAAATGTGATGGTAACTTAGACTGATCAAAAAATTATAATCGAAAAACATGTGTAGATTGTATTGATGATTTAGCATTGCAGGATTAATTCAAATACAATATTATGATATGGAAAAGGCATTCGATATTTTGATATTAAATCTAGTTTAGGGGCTCTATTTTAAGAAGTTAAATGGTATTTAAAAGTTTTCAACATTTTCTTTTTATACCTTCTAATCCTGGAATAGTAAAGATTCAAAAAGTTGCTAATGGACCATATTATAAATTCAAAAATTGTTAAAAATCAAAAGAACATATGTTGCCAAAATTATAAAAGAAATTCGAGTATTATTATTTCAACAACTATCATAATCGATAAAGAATGAAGAAATGGGGAGTGTAATCTTTAATCAAAATCAAAATATTTCATCTCAAGACATAATACAAATATCCATAAGAAAAAAAGTAGATGATTTATCAGAGTATCCTAAATTAGATGAGGGTGAAATTTTAGATGGCTGACTTGAAATAAGAAAACACTTTTTAAGAATATATTGGGTAATTAAAAGAAAAATCCTTTCCTATTCTTATTTACCTATCGATCTTCACAGTTAGAATTTTTATTTCTGTATAGATTATCCTCTTCAAAAAAAATCATCATCATCATTCTTAGAAACAGAAGAAGAATGATTTATCCAAAAAAACCTTCAACAATTAATACTTGTAAGGTACATTATATTGATAATGTTAATGGTCCTATTTCTAAATTTGTTTATTTACAGTAATAATGAATAAATTTTATTAACCCATAGGAATATCTAACATCAACGAAAATAAGAATGAATGTCTTATCGCTTTACCTTATTCTAATGTACACGAGATGCTTTATGATCAAAACAAAGATCTATATGGTGATGAATAAAATGGTTCGATAGAATCCAGTGACAAAGTTAATAACCAATGTCTTCAACCTAAAACATAGTTATTTCTACTAAATATAAGAGGTTCAATGGTTGGTGTTTTTTGAAAGTGATGATTAAAAAACAAAACAGAAATTATAGTTCAACATTGATTTTTCTCACGATCATTGGCTATTGATTGAACTTCATTTAAGGTATGTACTCTTTTAAAATGTATAGTTGAATTACTGGATGTTCATTTATTCCCAACATAATTTGTGGTTCTCTAATTTTTGTCATCTTTTAAAATGAAGGAAATTTAGCATTTTGTCAGGAGCTACTAACATTACATTATACCATGGAAAATGGTTTGAAAATCACTACTAGATCAAAAAGGAATTTATAAAAATTGTGGTTATAGATTTTATTGATGACGATTGTAACTTTTAATAGTTCTTGAAGAATATCTATAAGGTGAAATTTACAAACATCAAGTATTCTCATGGGAAAGGTGATCGTAGTTATCGATAATAGGATATTTTTCGGTACCTAATTGCTACGATTGTACGATTTAAGAGAGAAGAGTGAATTAAGTAATTTAGGATCAATTTTATTACCAACTGTAGTATAGTGATGTGGCACGAAAATAGCTGGAGTCACGGGGGATGATGGAGAATGATATGTGTCACTATTTGGATAAAATTATCCTTGTGTGTTGTGGTGACACGGAAACGTTTGTGACCACTGAAGGTGGCGGACAGAGGTGGTAGTTGCACCAAGTAGATTATGTGCCACCAATTGGGTGAAATACAAGGTAATTATTTATTCACCCTCGCACAACACCTTCAAGTAGCAAAGTATGGGTAGCAACCAAGGTAAAGGTAAACAAAAGAAAAAGGTATAAAGAAATCATAGTTAGGCAGTAGAAAAAAAAAAAGGAGATTCCTTTTGGGCGAAAAACTCACTTTAATTAGTTTTCTTTTATTAATTTTAATTTCGGACAATTTTCTTCTCTTATTAATATTGGTAATAATAAATAATTTCGAATATTCCTTTCATTTTAATAACTCTAGTGATAAATAGATACGAATAATTTCTTCATATTAGTTAGCCCTGTAAATAAATAATTTCGTGCAGCAATAGAGATAAGATACGCAAATGCAGTAATATATCTCTATTGTTATATTTTTGTAATAGTTTTAGTTTTAATAATAATTTCGTGTACCGGAATAGCAATAGGGATAGACATCCTATCCATGATAATATTTCTATTGACCTATTCTTTTGATAAGTTTTAATAAATTTTAATAAACTCTTTTATATTTCTTGGCAAAAGTTATATAAAAGTCTATTTCAGTTTGGTAGTGTGTAAGCGGTAATAAAGATACTTTTACTCCACTTACTCATCGTACCTTCAGATATTACACGTAATTGTATTATTCGTGAGTGTCAGTAAGCAGGTTTAGATCGACTGATTGCCTGACTTACGGTGTGTCGTGATATTGTGCACAGTAAAAGCGTATTAGTGATATATATATTAAATTATTACGTGATAAATTTGAGACTGATTGGTGTAACTTTCGCTTTGTTCTGCACAGAACGTGACAGTGTCATCCATCATCCAGGATGACTGTTTATTCATCCTGGCACAAAAACGTTTTTATGGATGACAGAGGATGACGGTAAACAAGGAGAAAAATTATAAAATAGCTGTGGTAGGGAAGAAAGAAAAAGAGATTCCTTTTCGCCAAAAAAAAAGAACAAGAACCAAAATAAAAATATTTTACTTGATATTTCGAACAATTTTTATTTTTACTTAAATATTTTGAACATTTTAATTTAGTTTTATTTTTACTTTTCATTCGTAATACCTTTTAATAATAATAAATAATATAGTCATGGGACTAGCGAAGAAATAAGATACACCAAAGTAATAATATATCACTATTGTTATTCTCTTTTATTTCTTTTATATTTTTGTAATAATTTCAAACAAATTTAGTGTAGTGGAATAACAAAAGTGATAAGATACGCCAAAGCAGTAATATATTGCTTTTGTTATATCCAATATTAAACTTTAATAAACTATTTCTTTTATTTCTTGGCAAGTTACATTAAAAAGTCTACAATAGTTTTGATAGTATGCAAGTAGTTGTTAAAGATACTTTTACTCCACTTGCTCATCGTACCTTCAGATATTACACGTAATTGCATTGTTGAGAGTGTTAATAAGCAGGTTTAGATCGACTGATTGCCTGTCTTGCTGTGTTTTAAGATATTGCACACAAGAGAAAGTGTGTTAGTAGTACATTGAATTATCATGTGATTGACCTAAATTTATTGAGACTGATTGGCTTAACTTTCCACTTGTTCTGCGCAGACCGCGACAATAGTTTCAATTATTCCTCTTTCTACATGTTAAATTTGAATTATTACCTTTTCTATTATATTTATTACTATTGAGATATTTTGAAGATCTGAGACATTTTATTTATATCATTACGGATATTTTTAAATACCATTTGAAAATTCCTTCTGTATTTGGGTTTGGGAATGCTATGTTGATGTGACTATAAATAATTATAACAAATTTTATCCTTATTCTTTTAGTTTTTGGAAGATAGAACATTGATTATTACTATCCACATCACATCACATCTCATCAGTGGAAGCTAGACTAATGGATAATGAAATCAATTAGATAAATTGAAACAATGGGATAATTATAATTATGTTATAAATGCAATGAATATACCGGAAGTATCTTACAGCAGTTCAAAAATATCGAAACTTTAGAATAGATATCACTTATTATATATCTAATCCAATACAGTATATCGATATAAGAAAACCAAAAAGAATAATGAGAAACAGAAATTGTCTCTTTATAAGTGAATTTGATTATAGCGATGATGATAATAACTGTGAAGATGATTATGATGATAATGATGATGACGATGATGATTTTTTAACACGCATATAATATGCGTGCATCAAAATATTTCATGAAGGCAGTTTACTAGTCTCTTACTTATACTATCCTGCATGTTACATGCTCATGACTCTTTATTTGCAGAGTAATGGACAAACACCAGTGTCGAGTACTTCTCGATCAAATCGTTTGATGTTTATTGGATCCAACAAACCTTGCGTTTGCATCAAAGGTCAGCTCGGGTTCATGCTTCTGAGTTAGGCATACTTGCTAGGGAATCAGATCAAAGGATAACGGATAATACACAATCATTACAAAAGCAACTAAAGGTTAGTGTTATTTGAAAGAAAATTGATCCATATTGCAAGGTTTCATGTTACTATGCCCCTCGATGCTTTCGAGGAGGGTTGGATGATTTCTTAACCCGATGGAGAGGAGAAATGTGGCAGTTTCATTTAATATAAATGATTCTTCACGTGTGCGTTTTATTTCACATGCAGATAAAAAAAATTTTAATATTAGAGCTTTCCTAAATCTTTTGTCCTTTTTTTTTAAATAAATTATGCAAAGATTCATAAATTATTTGGGAGAGAAGTGAGGTGATCGCGTCATCACAGATTCATTGACACTCGGCGAAGTATTAGCAAAGGTGACTTATTTATTTTTTAAACTCAAGATCATAATTAGGGTTCTGTTTGTCTTGTTTACTAATAGATTTTCTCCAATTTTTAGGTCAACATTAAGAAAACTCTTATTGATAAGATCAGTGATTCTTAAAGAAAAAGGAATAAGTACTTCTTTGGTACCATACAGTTTTTTTTCAATGAGTTATCTAAATTAATTCTGTTTATATAAAAATCCCTTTCTACAAACTGAAACACGTCATAATATAAATTGTTTGAGGGAAAAAAAGTAAGGTAAGAAGTCGGTTAACATTTTATCGTATCAAACTTGAAAATCTTTTATCATAGAGTGACGATACCAATGGAGAAGCAAGCAATGATAAAATTAATAATAGTATGGAAGAAACTGAGCATGAAGAAATGAATAATCAGTTGTACAATATGGATTGATTTTATTAGAATAACATAATTATTTTATTTTTTTTTCAAATTTTATAACCACATACAAAAATGATGTAGTAAAAAGATATCAATTCTTAATTTATTCAACAATGCCAAGCCCCACATTGTACACAGGAGTCGCGCACACCATAATCACAACTACTAGTACCATTAGCATGGCATTCATAGACATGAGTGACGTTGCAATCTGGGCCACCTGAGAAAAGAAAATAAAAAAAAAAGGTTAAAGGGGTGGCAAAAATGAATCAGAGCATACAAAGACAACTTAGATTTCAATTATTTACCAATTTCACCACCACAGTATTGACCTTGCTCGCTAAATGAAGAGCATACGCAAGCGGTATTATAATTGCATGAGGGGGACGTGCCGTTGTTACAGAAACAAAAATTACCATTAGAAAACCCCATGGCGTTACAGTCTTGACTTGGACAATTACCATCGCCAGCCTGACAATTGGTAGTATCAGACCAACAAACTGCAAGGGAAGGAACAACGGAAACAGAGAGAAAAACCAAAAAGAATAGAATATACTTGAGATACTTGGGTGCCATTTGGATTGAAAACAAAAGAAACTTAATGATTAAAATAAGAAGATCAAAATAAAACTCAGAAATAAGAGAAAGAAGAGAAAAGAAGTAATGGCAAAAAAAGTGAAGAGAAATAGAAGAATATATAAGGAATTCGTTTTTCTTAGGATTTACAAAAAAATATTATGTATATAAAAGCCTTTCTCACGTTTGTTTCTTTATGCCAAGAAAATTCATTCGTGATTTTTAATTAGTCATTAAATACATCATATGATCGCGTCCGAATTTCTTTTTAAAGTTTTTAAACAGCCTAAATGGGGGTGCTTAAAGTACATTATCATCTCTGGGTAACCCTTAATATAGGATATATATTAAGGCTCACACAGAGATGATATACTTTATTGGCTATATATCTTATATACGTATATACAGTTCAACAAACTCCAAGGGAAGGAACAACAAAAACAGAGAGAAAAACCAAAAAGAATAGAAGATACTTGGGAGCCATTTGGATTGAAAACTGAAGAAATGTAACGATTAAATTAAGAAGATCAAAATAAAACTCAGAAAGAAAAGCAGCGTGCAATTCCGGAATAATTGCGAAAAGAGTGAGAAGAAATAGAAGGAATTATGTATTTGAAAGTTTGTTTTTTGACGCCAAGAAAAACAATCATTAAATATATCATGATCGGCGTCCGCATATTGCTCTTTGGTAAAAGAATTCCTTTTTAAAGCTTAAATTTGGCTAAATAGGATACTTGAAAACCGGTGAAGTATATCATCATTTCCGGGTGCCCTTAATATATATCTATATAAGTAACTGTACGATTTGTAAAATGACAACTCCATCTCAAAACTCCATAACCTAAGTTATTATTTGTTTTACTATCTACCTATTTATTAATTAACTTTATTGTCTACTATATTTTAAATCCTTTATCCGTAATAAAAGCTTGTTTACGAATTTCATGTGATACATAATTAATAGAATTTCCTATTCGAATCTAAAACGTGTCTCAACACTTTCAAAAAAAAAGACATTTCATTTCTTGGCATCACGAGTTGTAAGACTCATTAAAACGGAGAAAGATCGGCGTTATACCCGTGTTAATAATTTTGGAATTATACTTATCTTGCGTAGTGGTACTTAAAAAATACGTGTCACCGATGCAGATAAACGGAAATTGGTTTAACATATATGCACGATTGCGGGATTGTCATAACATACAAACAAATAAAAAATAATCTTTAATTGTAAGAAAACAGATATATTAATTTTTTAATTATTGAGGACAGGTGAGGTTAAAGATTTATTAAGAATTATTGGCGAAGCTAGCAATGAAAAATATTTATTCTCTAGTTCGTTAATTATTATTACAAGTGGGTAAAGGGTACGGCAAATTTTTTTTTCGACCTTTTATAAAAAAAACAGACTAGAATTTATTTATAGATTCGGGTGGCAAAAAGCCAGAAGTTATCAGAAGTTTTTGTACTTTATGATGGTGAAATGTGTGTTAATTGGGTCAATGATTGTTCGCTTTCGACATATTGACATCAATAATCAGACAATAATGCATAATGAAATATGACGTTTGTTGTTCGTACAAATTCGGGTACTGAGCCAATTCGAACAGTCATTCGATTCTCAAAAGAATTTTCAATTTATAATAGCCCACTTTCAATCCGCATTCTTAGATTCCAAAGCATATGAAATAGTCATTTTGTGACTACGAATGCAAGTAATACGACATTCTAAATGAGTATTTCATGCTCCACGCACGTAACTGTTCCTCGATTTAATTACAGTTATTGTTGGTGTGGGACTAAATGCCGTTTCTATCCTACATTCCCGAAATAGGGGATAAAAATTTACTGCCAATTTTTAGTTTATTAAATTCTTTTAACATTACTTCGAAGTGTATTGAGATTTTCTTTGAATTGCCATATTCGAGATATTGATTTTATATTCGTTCTCACTGGTGCAATAAAGTCCTTTGGAGAAATGTTTTTATTTGTAAAAAGAGTGTAATAGTTTCAACCATACTGGTTCACATTAAATAAAGTACTATAAATTAACGAAATGTCTTATTTTATTTGGTGTAATCCTCTACAGATACAATTTCATATGAAAAAATTATTCTGGAACAATGAAACACTTAATTTTTTCATTTGGACATGTCTGTGTGACAGCTAACTGATCAGACAAACTTTGGACGCGGAGAACGAACATTGTCCGTATCCAAAGAAAATCTCGAAGATATTATCCGTGTACAACACTGGACCCAAAGAATATAAGTTTAGCGAATATACCTTTTGAACAATTTTTAATTGAAAATAAGGTATTTGATTAATAATTCAAATGTTGTTTATTATTTTTACTGTCTATGACGAGAAATATATTGGCAAATTCTATTTTTATCCCATTCATTTCCATGGTTAGATATACTGAGCAATTTATTTGTCTCAATTTTTTTAGTTGTTAGTCTTTCTTGATCATTCAAATTATCAGTTATTAAATAATCTTACTGAATCAATTTGTATGTATTAAGATTTGAAATAATTTGATTAGAAATTCGGGAATTTTCAATGCTGAAATATTCTTTTTTTCCTCCATTATTTGATCAGTAGGTGATTCCTAGTCTTCTTCCAACTTTATTACTTTTTGGAGTTTAAATGATTGTCTTGTGAGAATGTATTTTCTATTCTTAAAACTCCATCAAAGAACAATTATATAAATAGAGGCTGGTGTAAATTGATCAGGTGAAGTAGTATTACATAAGGGATTTTGATATTGATTATATTCGAGTTTTGAAATGCAGATAAAAGTTTATGTATTAAATTCTACCTAATAACCTTTCGTGTATCTACAGTTCTTTTACCAATTGATCCGCAAGGATCATTAAGATATTCCGATAATAAAATTCCTATTTGATCTCGTTCACTTTTAGCGGCTTTCACTTGTAATTTTAAATTGTTAACATCAATTACATTTCCAATAGTGTTTTGCTTAATAAACTTCACTCCAACATTTCTAAAGCCTCATTAAAAGCAAAGTAATGACCTTTTCTTTTTCATAATCATCAATTTTAATTGATACTGCACATCTAATTTCTCTTCAAGCTTGGATATTGAACAACTGATACCGAGTAATTAGATTTTCCGGCAGAAGAAAATAAACCAGCAAACCATTTTTTTTTTTTTTGATTTCCGACATGATTACTTTGTTTTCACTTCAAAATTTTGTTGAAAAAGTTGAGAATTACATTGTAAGCACCTGTATTTTTATTTCCACATTTTCACATATTCCATAATCTCTATAATCAATATTAGATTCTTTGGTATCAGATTTATCAGAAATAAATTTTCATTTATTTCATTCACTACTTCATTTAAATTATTTATAGTAATATTTTGTTCCACAATTTAATTTAAATATAAATTTAAATGAATGTTTTAAGTAGTAACGTAGTAACGAATGTTTAAAATTTTTTTATAGTATAGTATTATTGATTGTTCAGTGGGTGTCTATTTATTCTAATAAAAATAAATGGATTTGTGATTTTCCATTTAAAATTACATACCATCGAATTTAAAAAGAAAATAAAATTTCATGTCACGAGAATAAATTCCCCTTTCATTTACACGGATGACTATATTAGCTTATAAATAATGGTTTATTGACGTTATGGAGCAATAAAAAATTTATCGTAGAAATAATTATCTTCGCGAAAAAAAAAAGTTTTTAAATATTTTAATTTATTTAACTATAGTAACAATAAAATAAATTTGAAATAAGAATGGAAATAATAAATAACTAATAATATTATATGATATTTACATATAAAAATGTAAATTATTCATTTCATTCATTTTTTTTTAAAAAAAAATAAGTAAAAGTGATTTATTAGTAAAAACAATTAAAGGGTATTAATATTATAATAAAATTATATTCGATACTCACCCTATGGGATTTCTATAAATTCTTCAGTAACTTATAAAATAAAATACAATTAAATGTCAATTAATTAATTAAATTTATTAATATTAAAGCAAAAATAGAATTATATTTAAATATATATATATATATATTGTAAAAGCTTACTTAGATAATCTTTAGTAGTTAACGTATTTGTATTTTTATCATCATTTTCATTAAGATTCTTAGGTTTTGGAAGATTTTTGAAATTAAAACATCTACTAGTGTAGATTGCTGATGGATGTATTTCATATGTTAAACTATTTGTATTACTGTTATCCACTGGATTTATTAAGTTTAATTCTTTAATTTGTTTATACAATTCTGATTCTTCATTTTCGTCTTTTATATTATCATAATAATTATCAAAATCATCCAGCAATTCATTGGCAGTTGGTCTTCGTTCTAATTTTGCATCCCAACATCTTTTCATTATGTCAACTAGTAATTGAGGTACAACAATATTAGATGGAATTTCTGGTCTATATCCATTACATATTTTGAGTGCAAGATCTTTATCATGGGGAATATTGTAGAAAGGAGGAATTCCTGTTAATATTTCAAACAAGATCATTGCAAAACCATATATGTCTGATGCCTTTGAGTAATTATCATGCCCAGATAATACTTCAGGAGCTATATATGGAATTACGCCAAAAACATTTTGTTTACTATCTTTAGAAATTCCGGTTTCATTAGCTGGTTTAGATAAACCTAGATCAGTAATCCAGCATTCATCATGATTATGCAAGAGAATATTTCCAATATGAAAATCTTGGTGAACTAAATTAATCTCATGCATATGATTTAATCCCCATGAAATAAAACGTAAATTATTTAATTTATCTAACCATGATAATTTTGATTTTAAACAATTTCTAAGATTACCACCATCCATAAAACCCATCACAAACATATAATCTTTTGTCTCGGGATCTTGTGTAATACCATAACATGGTACTATTAATGTTTCTGTTGCTCGTTGACATTTTAAATAATTTTTGAACTAAATAAATATAAAAATATATATAAGCAACTAATTTTATATTAATATAACATTCTTTTATAAACTTTTAGTATAAATTACCTCATTTAAAAATTCCGTTGTTATATTTTGTGAATTGTTTAAAGATTTTAATGCAACATTATGATCATCATCATCATCATCTCTTTCCCATTGTTTTTGCTGAATATTCCACTTGTCAATATGTCCCTCCTTCCAGATGGCTGAATATAATTTCCCAAAGCCTCCTTTATCAATATATTTTATGTTTTCAAATTGGGAATATGGAATCCATTCAACAAGGGAAAAAGGTGTAGTACAATTTGATTGGGTCTCTTGAATGATTTCATCAACATCTTTGTTTCCACTTGTCCAATTTCCAAAATTTTGTTGAAAATGTTTAGAATTACATTGTAAGCACCAATAATTCCATGTATTTTTATTTCCACATTCTTCACATATTCCATAATCCTCTTCAGGTTCTTCGGTATCCGGTTTATCAGAAATTGAAATTTCATTTATTTCATTCACTACTTCATTTAAAGCATCTGTAGTACCATTTTGCTCCATAATTTAATTTAAATATAAAAATAAAATTAATTTAGAATCGTGTAGAAATTCAGTGAATGTTTTAAGTAACGAGTGTTTAAAAATTTCTTATAATATAGTATTATGGATGTTTAGTATGGTGTCTATTTATTCTAATAAGATAATAAAAGGGATTTTGTTTCTAATTCTATTTAAAATTACGTAGTATCGAGTTTTTAGAGCTTTTTAAATTCTTAAACAATATTTAAAATTTTTTTTTTAAAAAAGAAAAATTAAAAATAATATCGGAACCGTAAAACCGAATAAATTAAAAATTTTATCACACATGTACATCATATCATAGATTCTTTTTTATATTAATGGGTGTTTCTTGTGCGATCGTAAATACTGGTTTACTACACGTACGAAAAATTCATTGTAGAAATAATCACCATCGCGAAAAGAATTGGATTTTAAATATAGCATTTATAAATAAATTTGAAATAAGAATATAACAATAAATAATAAATTATACTTTATAAAGAAAGTTGATTAATGTTCTTAACGAAATCATAGAAATCTAGTTCTAGTAAAAAACAAACTAAATGTAACTTTATTTCTGGCAGAAACGGAAATTAGTCTTTTGAAATAAAAAGGAAAGGAAATCCAAATTTATATAATAAATATAAACCAAATAAAGAACCTAATAATAATTTTCTAGGAAATGACAAAAGGGTAGCTATAATTGTGAAGTAGCAATAATAATTATTTCGATATGTGCACCGTATTTTTGATGTAAAATCTCTATAGAATTCTGAATTACAATGAGATAATTATATCGTGGTTTGTGGTTGCATCGAAAGATGAGGAAGGGTTCCCGATTTTGAATAATAATTTGCTACTTTATAAAAAGATTCATTTTTTTTCATTATTTTCATAACGTTTTCAAATTGAAATATCTTTATTATTATTATTATTATTGATCTCTTCAGTTGATGCCCGAAACATACATAAGAATAATAATTCCATCCTTGACACCTATGCTATTCGGAAACTTTGAAAAAAAATTAATTAAATTAAATTAATAATTTTTATTGAAATATATATATTTAAAATAATTTAAAATGTTTCTTGTATCCTTTGTTGTTGTTTTTTTAATATCATTTTGTGTAGGAATTTGATTCGATGCAAGATTACTATTGTTTTATCAATAATAAAATATTACAAGTTATTGAAAAATTATTCAATTATTGGAAATGGATAACGGAAATTAGATAAATAAGAAATATATTTTATACATTTATATTTTGTATATATGTGAATAGATACCTTCGATATCATCCTAATAATTCATTCCGGATTGGTTTAAAGGTATTAATAGCTCTTTCCGGGATTGAGTTATTTCCTGTACAGTCCCCGTCAATAAAGTAGTGACTTCCCATGATGATTATTTATTATTATCATCAATTTTTTTCTACTCGCATAATATGCAGTGGTGTTGTTGTCTCAATGTCGCATATTCTTCCTAAATATCCTAGTACTTCATGTTTTGAGTCAATATAGGAATTCGTAAAATGCGAGAATTATTAACTCATTAATTGATAACTTATAATTTCTATATAATAAAAGATTTTATTTTTATTATTATTTTTATTATTATTTTTCTCTCTTATTTATTTATTTTCTCTTAGCGATGTCAATATTATCTAGATCCAATTTCATGTCATTATGTTTTAATTAACTTACCTAACTAGGTCATAATTTGAATTTAAAATGGTGTTTTCTGTGGCCTCTTAGGTTTTTTTTTCAGTCTACATACACGTATATATGAATAGAATGAAATATAATATCGAAATAGAAAGAAATGAAACTAACTGTTCTGATGAAACATTCAATCGAAAAGAAAATAAATGAGTTTTTTTTATATTGTCATTCTTCATACGTGTTTCGAGATCCATACCCAAATATTTAAAACACCTCTAATAAAGGAAAGAATATCAATTTTCTTAAAATAAGAATTTACATTTTGGCCATTTTCTCAAGATAAAAAATTATTTAATAAAATTACATATGATTTTTTGCAGTTAACTCACGAATCTCGAATTAACATTTTCGTTCCGTTGAGGTTTTTCTATCAAAAAAATAAATAGAATATAATTTATTTTATTTATTAATGCATTATGCTAGTGAAAATTCGAACTACTTTTTGACACTAAACCTTAAGATTTCGTTCTATTAGTCTTTTAATTAATAAAAACTGTACCCAAGTATCATTGTTTCGAAAGTATCTTTTTGCATATTCATTCTTTAAAACCCATGTGATAATATTTTGACAAAAAATAGATTTTTATTTTAATTTTATTATAGAATTAAAAAAAAAAATTTTTGTATTTTAATCAAAAATAAGGTTGATTATTATTTTTACTGTTTATGGCGAGAAATATATTGGCTATTTCTATTTTTATCCTATCATTTCCTAATATTTATTTATTAAAATTCTTTCTTCTTCAGGTTTGTTTTCACGGCGAGCTTGTCTCAATTTTTTAGTTATTAGTCTTAATCATTCAAATTATAGGTTATTAAATAATCTTGTGGTGTGATATTAATTGAATCAATTTGTATTTTTGTTCAGATTTGAAAATAATTTGATTAGAAATTCCTGAATTTTCAATGCTGAAATATTCTTTTTTTCTTCTATTATTTTCTATCTTGTAATTCCTAGTCTTCTTCCAACTTTATTACTTTTTGAGTTAAAATGATGTCTTGTGAAAATATATTTTCTATTCTTAAAATTCCATCAAAGAACAATTATATAAAATAGAGGCTGGTGTAATTTGATAAGGTGAAGTAAGGGATTTTGATATTGACTATATTCATTAGAGTTTGG